GACACTTTTTGTTCAAGTACAAGAGGGAGTGGTGGAAGAAGTATAACTACGTTTTGTCGGGCGGTTTAGACGCAGGAACCGCGTTTATGACAATACTGATATTCTTATCGCTTGGACGCAAGGGAATTGGATTGTTGTGGTGGGGAAACGCTGATGATAGCACCAACTGTAGTCTCGCGTCTTGTCCTACCGCTAAAGGCGTTATCATGCATGGATGTCCCGTTTACTGAATTTAAATAGTCACAATACGTAAAAATCGTTAAATTGCTGTTTATTATTCTCTCTTAGGTTTTTTTTTTTTTTTTTTTTTTTTTTTTCTTTAGTTGGTTTCAAATTGATGAATTTCTTTTGTACAGAATGCTACAACAGCTTTAGTAATTTACACTCTTGAAGTTCGTTTAATCCATAATATATTTAGCACTGTATCTATTATAGATTTCTCTTTATAAACTTTAGTATAGAGATGGTATGCATACCAAAAAGTGTACAATTCAGAGTACAATTTGGATTCATTACCAAATAAAAAATCCATGCATATCGTTTTGATGCAATTTCAATTTGAGTTCGGTTCAATTTTAGTTCGAGAATATATTTAAGTTATATAAAAATTGTAATGATAAATGCCGATCATATTCAGTTTTTTTTGGGTGAACATCATATCATATTCATCTATATTATTACCTGTGAATGTGATAAAAAAATGATTACATGTGAAGTCTCTTACGACCAAAATTACTCTTAATGAAATTATTGAATTTATTTTCCTTGCCATTATTGTAAAGCCTAATTATCTAATGGAAATTTCAGTTAAAAAAAAAAGTTCTAATAAAAATAATAATTACCATTATTGACGATTTACGTATTTGGTTGAGGATAAATTAGGTTTTTTTCAGACCTAGATAAAAAAATTGTGGTCAAATGTAAAACTAATCTCTTATTTTTCCATTTTAAATTTGTCTTTCAATTAATTACGGAAATGCCTTTATTTTTTTAATTGATAGACCAATACTGCGGTCTACCAAATTTGCTGAAAGACCAAACACCCCTCATATTCTACACATTAATTGCAAAAATGCCATATTATCAATGTTGTCAACCACCATTTTCACCCAATTTGGAGCCGTTAATGCTCCAAAAATTCACTTTAGAGCTAGTATTGCTCCTTCTTTCATCTCACAAACTCTTATTCTTCCACTTTCTCTCCATTTTCATCTCAAAAACTCTATAAGAAAATTCAAATCTTGGGTCTTGGCATTTCCGATTGTTAAGCTTACAGTGACAACCGGAGCTCGTTATTGAAAGCTTAAATCGAAGTTCCCAGCCCTCGAAGAGTCTATCTCCGATGGCCATGTAACTTTTCTTTCAAAACTCTAAGAATTTCAGTTTTGGTCCGCGAAGATAAACTGAAGTTGAGGTGTACTAACTCTCAGTAGACCTCAGTTCAACTGAAGTTGAGGTTGACCATACCATTTCCTTTGCAAACAAAAAAACTAGTGGTAGACCACATAGGTCTACTCCACGTGGAGGTTAGTTTTGCAATTGATCAAGAAAAATGTTTGTTTTGGAGGTCTACTCCACGTGGAGGTTAGTTTTGAAATTGATCGAGGAAAATATTTTTTTGGAGGTCTACCTAAAAGAAAGTTGGTTTCATCGTTGCCAAAAGTTTGACTTTCCTCAAAAAGTAGAAATTTTGCGACATTGAGGTCTACCGCAGTTGAGGTCTACTAGTCAACGCAAAAAACTGAGGTCTACCTTCACAGTCTACTAGAGAAAAGTCAAAATTTGAGTCAATGGCAAAACTAACTCTTTTTTGTAGATAGACCTTAGGGGTAGATCGATTCTGAGGTCTACCTTTCATGGTAGACCGACTTACAACGTAGACCTCGTTATGCTTGGTAGACCGATTCAGAGGTCTACCAATCAAAATGAGGTATAGCGGGAAAAGTCAAACTTTGGTCAATTACAAAACTAACCTCCACGTGGAGTAGACCTCCAAGGTAGACCTAAAAAAATATATTTTTCTCACAAAACTAACCCGCCACATGTAGTAGACCTAAGTATGTCTACTTATTAGATCTATTATTATGTGTTTTTTTTAATGTCATTTTTCGGGTAAATATATCAAACATTTTGAAAGTTTTCTTGAACAGTTTTTTATTTGTTTTTTAATTTAAATTTAAGATTTAATGATTTAGTAGATCTAGGTAGACCTTTCATGGTTTTATAGGCTTTTAACCTATTTTTTTTAGTAATTAAATTGTTTCAAATCTATGAAATTATTGTATTTATGTATAAAACATTTTCATCATTTTTTTTTTAATTTTAATAATTAAAATTAAGATTTAATGACATAATATAGTTACTCGGTAGATTTCACACATTTTTATAAATTTTAACTTAAATGTCTTTGTTTATCTATAATTCATTTGTATGCATTCACATTTTAGGTAGATGATAATTTCTATATTTTAATTATTCATACGTCTTTTTGTATACAAATATTTTTTATTTAATTGTTAATTAAAATTTAAGATATTATGATGTAGAACTCTAATATTGTCTACTAGGTAGACCTCACTGGTAGACCACATCGTTTAGAGGTTAAAATCGTAATTGAAACATATGTTTTTTTGTTTGATCATGAGAGAGTGTGGGATAATTTTACTACACATGAAGATTAATTTTGCAATTGATTCAATTTATGATCTAGTTAACTAGAAAAAAATAAAATTGTGATTTAGAATTGGCAATTACCCGAATACATTAGCTATCCTTGGTAATTTTACTTTTGTGGATCATAATACCTCTGCTTACAAGATAAATCATCTGCCTTTCAAAATATACTTTTATCGCAGAACTGTTGTTGATTCTTGTAAAGTTTTTCGGCTCGTGTGCTTGAAAAATATCCGGCAGATTTCAGAGAAATTTAAGATGGAAAATTCAAAATAGAGATGTTTTAGTTAGTTAGTCATAACTCATAAACTTGCATAATTTCGTTAAAATAATATGTTTGTTCTGAATTTATTAATCCCGTCAGGATTTTGAGTCTTAATGTTTTGCAGCTGTTCTTGGGCAGATAGTGTCTGTTAAATTCTTGAGAAAACTTTAAATTAAGGGGAAAAGCTAATTTAATGTGTATTTTTGTGATATATTGCAAAATTTATAGAACGTTAGGTGAATGTCATTGTCACTTATCATCCACATGTCTCTTGTGGTTTCCTCCATCTTTTTTATTCATTGACAAAAATGGTTGAATGAGTTAAAATAAACAAATTACTATGAAATATTTATATGTAACGGTGAATGTTTTTAGAATATTGGAGTTTGTTTGATATTCCATTTGTTTCTTAATATATGATGTTTTGGGGTTTTCATATAGATTAAGACTTTGCGAAAAATCACACTCATACATTTATGAAGAAAGGCAGCAAAACTAGAGGTTGGTATATATGTACAATGAAAAAGCTGTTGAAGATAATAGGGATAGTAATTATCCACATACGTGTCATCTCACACGTGTCATGGACCATGTTTTCACCGACTTATGGATAGAGCCATGTGGCTTTATTTCATTGCATTTCTTGTACTATAAATACCTTATGTACCATAAAGTGAAAGGAGGTAAGAAATTGAGAAGAGAAACTTTCTCTCTCTTGGCCCACCATATTCCATCTCTCTCGTCTCTCTTTTCTTATGGTCCACTTTTTATTTATTTAATTATTAGTTTTACAACACGTTATCAGCACGATTGCCTCTATACCTAGATCTGTCTAGATCTATTCTTATCCGAGAGGTAAGCCTAAATTCTGTCCAAATTTATTTAAAATTATATTTTGTCTATTCTGCCGGGAAGTTAGGCTCTGCCTACTCCGAGCTGATCGTCATGGATGGCTCTGCCTCCTCGATCAAATAAATCTCTTAAAGCCGGGAAGTTAGGCTCTGCCTACTCCGAGCTGATCGTCATGGATGGCTCTGCCTCCTCGATCAAATAAATTAAAGCCGGGAAGCTAGGCTCTGCCTACTCCGAGCAAATGATCACATGGTAGACTATGTCTCCTCAGATCATATATATGGAGTGGTAGGGAAATCCTCCTCCGGAGTTGATGGTGAAAACCTCCTCTATGTAGCGGAGTTGATGACTATGTCTCCTCCCAGATCTAAATTTCTGTCTTTCAATTTATGCCTTTCAATTTTGTTATTCTGTTTAAAGTTTTCAAAAGAATTCAGTGGCCCTGATGGTGCCACGATTTGAGATTAAGGATGGAGATACTTGTCTAGCAGACAGTGCTACGACACATACAATACTCAAAGATAAGAAGTATTTCTCCTATCTCAAAATGAAAGACTCCGCTGAAAGCGTGAGTACTATATGCGGTAGTGCAAAGATAATACTTGGCTCTGGGAGTGCAAGTTTTTCATTGCCAAGGGGAACGAAATTTGAAGTGCGAGATGCACTATATTCCCCGGAGTCTCACCGGAACTTATTAAGTTTCCGAGATATCCGCAAAAATGGATATCATATTGAGACTATAAACAAAAATGGCATTGAATATCTTTGCATTACAACGGAGAGGAAACAAACATTGGAAGAATTACCAATGATGTCCTCTGGTTTATATTGCACAAAAATCAACATGACTGAATCTTATGTTGCAGTAAACCAGATGTTTACTAGCACTTTTAGGGTGTGGCATGAAAGACTTGGCCACCCAGGTTCAGTCATGATGAGAAGAATTGTGCAAAATACGAGTGGCCACCCATTGAAAAATGAAAAGATTTTTCAATCGGGGGAGTTTTCATGTAAAGCATGTTCTCAAGGAAAACTCATAATTAGGCCCTCGCCAGCCAAAGTTGGGAATGAATCCCCTGTATTCTTAGAGAGAATACATGGTGATATATGTGGGCCTATTAACCCACCGTGCGGGCCATTTCGATACTTTATGGTATTGATTGACGCATCTAGTAGATGGTCAAATGTGTGTCTTTTGACCACAAGAAATATGGCTTTCGCAAGATTCATTGCCCAAATAATCAGGTTGAGAGCGCATTTCCCTGATTATGCCATAAAGAAAGTCAGGCTTGATAATGCTGGTGAATTCACTTCAGCAGCCTTTAATGACTTTTGTATGTCTGTGGGAATCGATGTTGAACATCCGGTTCCGCACGTTCATACGCAAAATGGCATGGCTGAGTCATTAATAAAGCGGTTGCAGTTAATTGCAAGACCGTTAATCTTGAGAACAAAACTCCCAATCACTGTATGGGGACATGCAATATTGCATGCGGGAGCCTTGGTTCAAGTGAGACCAAGTGCTTATAATAAATTTTCGCCCATACAGTTGGCATTTGGAAATATGCCAAATATATCCCATCTCCGGGTATTCGGGTGTGCGGTCTATATCCCAATAGCGCCACCACAGAGATCAAAAATGGGACCACAGAGGAGATTGGGAATATATGTCGGGTATTCGTCCCCTAGTATAATAAGGTATCTTGAACCGGCAACTGGTGATATGTTTACGGCACACCGATTTGATGAAAATGAATTCCCTGCGTTAGGGGGAGGGTCGAGAGAATCACCAAATGATATCACCAAATGGTGTACACACTCTTTGGCTTATCTTGATCCTCCTTCTAATCAACGCGAGGTGGAAGTTCAGAAAATTATACATATGCAAAGATTGGCTAACCAGTTGCCATGAGTTCAGATACGAAAAGGGTGACGAAGTCCTATATCCCCGCTGCTAATGCTCCATCAAAAATAGAAGTTCCTCATGAACATTTTGATGTGAATAGAGCAAGTGAACCGGTTCAATTAAAGCGCGGGAGGCTATAGGATCAAAGGATAAATATCCCCGAAAGAAAAAGAATTGTGGAGTAAAGGTTCCTGATGAACCGAAATGTCTTGAAGACATTTCCGAACAGGTTCTTGTAGAACCTGATAAAGAGGTTCGTCAAGATGACGAACCAGAGACAGAAAAATTTGAGATTTCCATCTCCTTCGCCCAAAGTGGAAAAATATGGGCTAGAAGTGAAATAGATGATGATGAATGTTCTCTTTTTCTGTAGCTAAAGAGATCGATCATGAAAATGATGATCCAGATCCAACTTCCGTGTCAGAGTGCCAAAAGAGGCCGGACTGGGAGAAATGGCAAATGGCCATGAAGAATGAAATATTCTCTCTCAATAAACGGACTGTAGTTCAATGGTCAATAGATCGCTTGATGTTAACAAGGATCCATTTCGACCTATTGAAGATTCTGAAGAAATGTTAGGTCCTGAAGTACCTTACATGAGCGCCATCGGGGCACTTATGTATCTTGCAAATTGCACTAGATCAGATATAGCTTTTGCTACTAATCTGCTTGCAAGATACAGCTCATCGCCTACCAGAAGACATTGGAACGGAATAAAACATATATTCCGTTATCTTCAAGGTACGATTGAGTTTGGATTATATTATTCTAGAAACCCCGAGGTTGGTTTAGTTGGTTTTGCAGATGCTGGCTACTTGTCTGATCCGCATAAGGCTCGATCGCAAACCGGTTATGTTTTCACATACGGTGGAACCGCGATCTCTGGCGTTCCCAAAAACAAACTTTGGTTGCAACGTCTTCAAATTATGCGGAAATCATTGCTCTCCATGAAGCATGCAGAGAGTGTGTATGGTTGAGATCTTTGATCCAACATATACAAGAAGCCAGCGGAGTATCTACAAAGAAAGAGCCAACAACCATCTACGAAGACAATTCTGCATGTGTCACTCAACTCAAAGAAGGCTACATCAAGAGCGACAGGACAAAGCACATCCCTCCAAGATTTTTCTCTACACTCAAGAACTCGAGAAGAATCAAGAAGTGGATATTCAGTATGTTCGCTCAAGTGACAATGCAGCTGATCTCTTCACAAAGGCGCTTCCTACACAGTGTTCAAGAAGCATGTTCAAGTATTGGAATGCGTCGTCTTACAAGATTTGTGAAGAGAAGACTATATCTATTTTCAGGGGAGTTTGCTTTCGGTACTCTTTTTCCTTTTCATGGTTTTTATCCCATTGGGTTTTTCCATGTTAAGGTTTTAACGAGGCCGTATGCAACTTCACACGATGATAGATAATTAAGGGGGAGTGTTGAAGATAATAGGGATAGTAATTATCCACATACGTTTCATCTCACACGTGTCATGGACCATGTTTTCACTGACTTATGGAGAGAGCCATGTGGCTTTATTTCATTGCATTTCTTGTCCTATAAATACCTCATGTACCATAAAGTGAAAGGAGGTAAGAAATTGAGAAAAGAAACTTTCTCTCTCTTGGCCCACCATATTCCATCTCTCTTGTCTCTCTTTTCTTCCAATGGTTCCCATTTTTTATTTATTTAATTATTAGTTTTACAACAAGCAAAATTATTCAATCAATTTAGTTTTATATAAGTACATGTTCAACAAGAATAAAGTTTAGATTTCTTTAGGTTCACTGCTCAGTTATACTAAAGCCGGTTTCTGTTTCATGTTTTTTTTTTTTCTCGTTTTTACTGAGTTTTTAAATTATAAACACACAATCACAGAAAGTAAATTTCTCTGATATCGACTTTGATTTTTCATTTACAGTTATTTTTCTCACTCCTTGGTCTTTATGAATCCTTAAATCAGTTTCTCAAGATTTTCTTATCAAGAGTCAAATATTTAAGATTCTAAAACGTTGAACCAAAAAAAAAAAAAAAATCATTTTGTTTAAGTAAATAGAAAACACAATGTAAATGGAAGATAGGCACAAAATTTCGAACATAGACGTTAAAGCTGACGTATGCAGCTTTCTTGACAATCTATTTCACTCTGGCACAGATAAGGCTGATGATTTTATTAGCCAAAATGAAACATTTTATACTCCACAAATTCAAAAAATTTAAGTTTCCTTAATATAATTTTCACATTCAGTAGTAAAATGCAACAGAAAAAGAAACACACAGCCTGGCTTGGCTACGTATTTGTAGTATACTTCCTTCTATGGAATATCACTGAAGATATGATACCAAAATTAACACAAAACACTCATCTAAAGATTCTTATTATATTTCTGCACCTAAAAGACAATAAAATTCAATCAGGTTTCTTCAGGATCTCATTTCAAAAACACAACCCCAGGATCTGTTTGTGAGTGTGTTTATTCAAAAAGAATCTGAAGAACGGTTACATAAACACATAAATAATCCGTAGAGAGATAAAACTTTCACACTAATCCTCTGTTTTTTGAAGACCAATGAGAGATATCAGAGAAACAAGATCGGAGCCGGAGTCGATGTCGGAAGCAGATTACTACGCCGACGACGATGAAACAAGTGTGGTTCCACAAGTGGAACTAACGGTGCCCAAAACCGACGATCCAGCTGAACCGACGGTTACATTCAGGATGTGGGTTTTGGGGATAACCGCTTGTGTTCTCTTGTCAATTCTAAACCAGTTTTTCTGGTACAGAACCAACCCTTTGACCATCTCATCTGTCTCGGCTCAGATTGCTGTTGTTCCCATTGGTCATCTCATGGCTAGGGTTCTTCCGACAAGGAGATTCTTCCAAGGGACTAGGTGGTCTTTCACGATGAACCCTGGGCCGTTTAGCACCAAAGAACACGTTCTCATCACTGTGTTCGCAAACTCTGGTGGTGGATCTGTTTACGCTAGTCACATTCTTAGTGCTGTTAAGCTTTTCTACAAGAGGAAGCTTGATTTCTTGCCTGCTTTGCTCGTTATGATCACAACTCAGGTAACAACAAACAGTTGATAGCTATTTTTCCTTGGAATTCAAGTTTAGGTTTAGGGTTCTGTGCACTGAGAGTTTTTTGTTTTTTGGGATGCAAGGTATTGGGATTTGGTTGGGCTGGTTTGTATAGGAAACATTTAGTTGAGCCTGGTGAGATGTGGTGGCCGAGCAATCTCGTTCAAGTTTCTCTCTTCAGGTACTAATTAAAGACTCCTTCTCATGATCATGCTACTATGTTCTTGATTAAGCATCCAAATCTTTAAAGTCTGTGTTAACGCAGAGCATTGCACGAGAAAGAGAAGAAATCGAGATGGGGGATTAGTAGAAACAAGTTCTTCGTCATCACGCTCATCACAAGCTTCTCATATTACCTTCTCCCCGGTTATCTGTTCACGGTCTTGACCACCATCTCATGGTTATGCTGGACTAGCCCTAACTCGATTCTAGTAAACCAACTCGGCTCGGGGTCAAACGGTCTAGGTCTCGGTGCCTTCGGTCTAGACTGGTCAACCATCGCGTCTTACCTCGGAAGCCCACTCGCTAGCCCGTTCTTCGCCTCTGCAAACATAGCGGTAGGGTTCTTTCTTGTCATGTACGTAATCACACCTCTCTGTTACTATCTTGACATCTTCGACGCCAAAACCTACCCGATCTACTCCGGTAAACTGTTTGTATCCAACGGCCAAGAATACAACGTATCGAGCATCATAAACGCCGATTTCCGCTTAGACCACAAGGCTTACGCTGAGAGAGGACCTGTCCACATGAGCACTTTCTTTGCTGTTACTTACGGCCTAGGTTTCGCTACCTTGACTGCTAGTATTGTCCATGTCTTGCTTTTCAACGGCAAAGATCTTTGGACTCAAACCAGAGGAGCGTTCGGTAGAAACAAGAAAATGGACATACATACGAAGATCATGAAAAGGAATTACAAAGAAGTTCCTCTCTGGTGGTTCCTTTCGATTTTCGCCGTGAATTCTTTAGTTATTGTCTTCATATGTATTTACTATGAGACACAGATTCAGCTTCCTTGGTGGGGAGCTTTCTTGGCTTGTTCGATAGCTATCTTCTTCACTCCTCTTGTTGGTGTGATCATGGCCACTACTAACCAGGTTACAAGACAATACTCACATGCTTGCTTTTTTGGCTTCAAAACCGGTTGTGATTAAACTGGGTTTCTGTTTCTCCTTTGTTGTAGGCTCCGGGTTTGAACATTATCACGGAGTACGTAATTGGGTATGCATATCCAGAGAGACCTGTTGCTAACATATGCTTCAAGACCTACGGATACATCAGCATGTTCCAATCTTTGACTTTCCTTTCTGATTTGAAGCTTGGAACTTACATGAAGATCCCTCCAAGAACCATGTTCATGGCACAGGCTAGTCTTATAACATCTTTTCTTCTTGCTAAGAATGTTGCGATGGACCAAAACATTTGACAAAATATATATTCTTGATGTTGACACAGGTTGTGGGAACTTTAGTAGCAGTCTTTGTCTACGCATTAACAGCTTGGTTGCTGATGGCCACGATCCCAAATCTCTGCGACACGTCTGTACTTCCACCAGGAAGTCAATGGACTTGCCCAATAGATCGAGTCTTCTTCGACGCATCAGTAATATGGGGACTCGTGGGACCAAGAAGAATGTTTGGTGATCTTGGAGAATACTCAAACATAAACTGGTTCTTCCTAGGAGGTGCAATAGCTCCAGTGTTGGTCTACTTAGCCACAAGACTCTTCCCAAACACGAAATGGATAAAAATGATTCACATCCCTGTTCTGATTGGAGCCACGGCTATAATGCCACCAGCTTCTTCGGTTAACTTCACCAGCTGGCTCGTTATGGCGTTTGCGTTTGGACATTTCGTGTTCAAGTACAGGAGAGAGTGGTGGCAGAGGTACAACTATGTTTTGGCTGGAGGAATGGATGCAGGAACAGGGTTTATGTCTGTGCTTCTGTTTGTTGCGTTGCAAAGAAGTGAGATTGGGCTTGATTGGTGGGGAAACTCCGGTGAAGGTTGTCCTGTTGCTAAATGTCCTACTGCTAAAGGTGTGATTGTTCATGGTTGTCCTGTTTTCTAATCTACAAGATCTGTGTTGTTAACATCTGTTTTACTTTTTTTTTTTTTTTCACATTCTCCATTACTATGTTGGTAATATGTTTCATATGTTATTTGTTTTTGTATACTTTCTTCTATGAATAAAAATGTGTCTTCAGTGTTTGTGCTGCCATTTTAAAAGAAGATTCACTTGTTTTCTTAAGAAGACAATGGAAAGTCACAAGAATCCAACAAAACAAAGCAAGTAACATTATGGGTCGTTGAACAAACTACAAGTATGATTTTAAACTTCATCACTCTTCCAAGTTCCCCAACAAATTTTGCATACAGAAAAGGCTTTACAAAGTTCTGAAAATTTCATCTTCTTTCTTCTCTTTATGTAAACAACATCAAGAAGAAGTCTCTTCCTTGAGCCTGTACAAGGTGATTTCTTGCTGCTTGAAGTAACGGCGATCCTCTTCGTCCACCAGCACAAGATTCAGATAATACTTAACGCTGAATTTGTTGTTTATGTTCTTGTGCGTTGGTGTCAGGTCGTATGGTGTCAAGAACAGTCTCACAGGTATCGATTCGCCTGCACAATGGTCTCAATAATTACTTGGTCCAAGCGAGTTTTGTAACATAAGATGAAATTATTTAGGGATAATACCTCTAACGGGAGCACCATCCATTAACTCAAATTTGGCTAGTGTTTCTGTTTCAACGTGAGTATTAGCTCCTGCTCCTGTAGATTCTCGCCGTCTGATCTCAAGATCCATATTCTTTATCTTGATTCTCACCAGAAGAAAGTATATTTTCCCAAGGATAACATCTTTCAGATGATACCTGCATCCAGAGCATTAGAGAAATTTAGCTGTTGTCTTTTAGTTTCTTATCAACTTGAACTTGAAATTATGAAAATGAATTTGTCTTACTTGCTTTTATTGTACTCAAACTCAATATGCAAGCAGTCCTCGATTCCAACTTCCATCTGTACAACAGATAAGAGTCCAACGAAGTTAAGCATATCTATTGCTAATAAGAATGTTGGAGGAAGTTCTTTTATCATATCATAGCTCACCTTGATGCTGTTATTGATTGGAGGTAGTGGAGCATAGTTACGGACCTGTTTCAAAGCCCCATGACAACATACCATCTTAAATACTATCATACCGCAGAGACATAGCAACAAAAAAATGAAGAAACATACCACAAAGTCCTGATATTCCACAATGCTTCCAGCATAGCCACGTGTAACTGTTACTTTGAGGACATACCTGAAGATAACAGGAACAAATCTTATGTACTAAACTATGCAAAATGATGAGACGTCTGATGTTTAGAACTGTTTCAATCGGATGTCAAAGGAATAAGAAAATGATATTACCTTAGCCGCACATTCACACCATTGTAGGTCTCATATGGCATCTCAACGCTCGGAAATTCAAATGGATACGTCTTTCTTTCATATATTTCTCCAGGTACATCCAGCTCTCGCACTGCAAATGGGAAATAAGAACCACAGATAAAGTTGGATCAATCACTTTTATTCTAACATTCTGCTGCTCTCTACGAAACAAAATCCATGTCACAAGATGTTAACTCACCCAAGGAAGTGAAGTCATAAAAGTTTCCTCTGTCAAAATACATTTCTGTCAAAGCAATGTGAATGTTGTCAATAATCATATAAAGACATGATTTACAAGCCCACATAAATCGCAGCAGATACACACCTATTTGACCAAGAAGCTCAACTTTTACACCATTGTGCTCCACTTTTTTCCCTTGATATGGTTCAATGCAGACCTAAGAGAGACGTGTTAAGGATCAAAACTACTTTAATACAAAACTCATGTCGACGACTATTAAACTCATGATGATCACAACAAAACCCAACCATGTACCTTCCCAGCAATAGTTTCTTGACTCTGAAAAAGTGGATTCATAACTGTTTGTCCATTATCTTTCTTAATCGGTACCTAGTGCAACAGAGATCAAACAAGGCGGTAAGAAAGTTGTAACCTTGAGCAATCTTTGCAAATATATGCTTGGCTGCTAATATAACCGGAGGAGACGCAGAAAGCCAAAAACGTTAAAAATCTAAAGAGAAATGCGTACTTGTTTACGATTTTTCCCATCAGTAAACGTTACTGAAATATTACATGCAGGCTTGAAAGCTCCAAGAAGATAATTCTGTGATATTATTAATCAACAAACAAAAGTAGTGTTGAGCAAAGGCACAGCGATACCAAGCAAAAAAAGGAAACTTTATCGAAAAGAAGAATTAACAGCACTAACCATGATCAGAAGATTCGATGATCCCGATCACAATAGCCTGCTCCGAAGCATAAGAAACCAACAAAAGGGGACAAAGAATCAGCAGCATTTCCAACTTGAACACACATTGTTAAGCTAGAGCTTTGTCAAATTCGAGCTCACGATTCAGTTAAGATCACCGAATAATTGAAATAAACCCTAATCACGATTCATACGAAAGTAATCGAAAAAACCCCAGAAAAAATCCAAATCACATGTTCAAAGCTACAACGATGACAACAAGACTTGATCGAGATCTCCGAAGTTAGATTCCATTAGAAAACTGAGAGATTAAGTACCTTCAAAGGTTGAAATCAAGGGCGTATTTTCAATTGCAGAAAGACGAGAAGAAAATCGATCAAATCGACGAAGATTCTGACAGTTGGGTTTGAGACGATCGACAGAGTAGACCAACGAAAACAAAAAGAAAACGAAACTTTATCTCAAGTTGACTTTAAAGGCCCAAACTTTTACATAACCGATCAAAGCCCACATGAGACAATATAATTGACATTTATATGGTTAAACGATTTGGACTATGCAAAGTATGCTAGTCTATAATAAACAGCGGATGAATTTTCACACACTGTGCTCAGATGGTGTCAAAACTTACAGCGTTTGCGATATTGCTAGAGGAAGTAGAGAAATGCAAAAGAATGTTCCAGACGTTCTCCCTATCATACATTCCCAGGACAAAGAACACGAAGGTAGACAAGCTAGCACGGAGTGCTCGAGATCAGCCTCATGATGTGTACTACACATAAACTCAGTTCCCCCGGCTTCGCTTCCCGAACTGGGTTAGGAGCTTAGGCTGTTGACAAAAAAAAATAAAAATAAATAAAGTGTACAAAGTTTGGTTTAAATTTTTTGAAGGAAAACAAATGGTAAAATGTATCTATACTAGTATTATTTTAGTATATATTTTTGCGAAGGGATTTTTGAGAATTGAGCTCTCTCAAACCGTTAGAAGGCATCGTAACAGAGGTTTACGGAGAGACGTACAAAACAGAACGTGACCCAAAATATTTCCAAATATTTAGTCCAACTAATCAAGATGTGGACATGATTAACGAATATATGCTGTCAAACATTGAAGTTAATTTCTGATCTCCTCATTAAGATGTATTATATTATCTAATAAGAAGAAAAAAAAAAAACGGGACTTGACAAATTTTGAATTGTTTAGGTGAAGAGAAGATCTATCTACGTTGATCTAACACAAGCAACAAAATAGATGGCGTAGCATACTCAAGAGATTTTGAACAGTATCAAAATCGCAGAATTTCCTAATCATTGCTTGAAGTTGAAGGTTGGAACACCTATAATGGTGCTTAGAAACATTGATTCAAAAAGTGGTATCTGCAATGGAACAAGGTTGCTTATCACACAAATGGCTGATCATGTTATCGAGGCAAGGTTTATAACAGGGGAAACGGTAGGAAAGAAAGTTTTAATACCAAGAATGTTTGTCACTCTGGCTGATGGCAGGTTTCTAGGATGAGAAGAAGGCAATTCCCAGTTATGGTGGTTTTCGTGATGACAATCAATAAGAGTCAAGCACAAACTCTGAAAAAGGTTGGTTCCGAGGCCAGTATTTACACATGTGCAGTTGTACGTGGCAGTTTCAAGAGTTACATCAAGAAGCGGGTTGAAGATTTTAATAATGGATAAAGATGGGAAAGCAGTAAAACAAACAACGAATGTTGTTTACAGAGAAGTGTTTAGAACGTGTAACATGATTACATATACTTTGTTTGACTTTTGCTTCCGAGTGTTGATTGTGTTGTCCCACCGTCAATATTGGACCATGGCGTTAGTGAGTCTCTTTGAGACAAATGGAAAAACGGGTAAAAAGTACTTGTCTCTAATAAGTTCAAGTGGTTTGTGACTTTGTGTTGTCTCTAAGGTGTTTTAATATATGATTTTACGCCTACATTGATGATGAATCAATATTGGAGAAAGATTAGTTGCTTGGTTTGGTTGGTCATTATCCAGTTGAGCGATCACAATCAGCATCAATCAATTGCTCGAGTAACTATGATGATCAAGTATTATCAGCATATGTTAGTTCTCTGATTTGCTAATACTGTATATATCATTATCAAACGACTTAAAAAAACGACTCATGCAGTGCAGGTCGATCACCTAGTTCAAAACGTCATGTAGTTTATAAATTTTAAAAGACTTCGTGTTGTTTCCAAAAGAACTTTTGCAAAATAGCATGGTTTTCAGAACATAATAACCATGGTCAAGAACTCAAGATAGGTCTGCAATCTTATGGAGCTGTAGTTTTTTATTTCAACTGATATATTTAAATATTACTATAGACATAACTCTGACGATGTTATATGTTTTATTTTGTATGATTTTCGGAATACCAATTTTCTTTTTCTGTCAAAAACTATACTAGTAAATCAACAAGTTTAGCTTTTTGTGTGGGTTTACCAATAAATTTTAGAGGAAATTAAAAATAAAGTTTAATAAAAAACTTGATCGAATATTAACATAGTGTCAGTTTATTGTTGGACTTATATCTTTTCAATGTTAAAGTTTGAAATCAAATAGATGACTTTTTTGTACATTACAAAATAAAATCAAGATTATTAATTAAACATGGTACATACATACTAAATTGAGTAGATAGGCTTCATTTAGAGTCAAAGTGTTTCATTGTGATACATATTTTCCTTACTCATGAATATCATCGTCGTCTTCAACAACTACAAAAGTATAGTCTTCTTTAGTTCTCTCTTGATCTCCTGGTGCAATTCATAGGTAGGCATGTGCCTCCAACAACCATGGTGCGTGTCAAGAACTTGCATGGCGACAGATCCAAAGAATGGACAAGCGGTTCACTTCAAGAGTTCATACTGAATCAATTGTGGCCTCGGAAAAGTGTTTTCCATCGACGATGTTCAAAGAATGAGTTTTGTTTGGTAATAATGATAGGCACCATGATAACATCTTGAACTCCAACACAAATCGAGGCTGTTTAGTTACAATTGATCATAGAGAGTGTTTTCCTAAAACGGTATATCTCTACTTTCTCTCTTTCTTTATTTTTATTTATTGTTAAATCCATCATTTTCTTTTAGATTGTTTTGTTTTTCGATGTGATTGTCGATTAGAAGATAAGTAACATTGTTTCCATTTTCTTATTGATTTTAGTGCGATAGGTACTCGTTTTTTTGGAGGACATGGAGTCAAGCAAATGTGGAGTACCCACAAAATATGGTTAACTATGTGGAGAATTTGGACATAGTCTTCTTTATTTCTCTCTTGATTTCTTGGTGAAACTCTTGGTCAATGAAAATCTTTAATCCGTAAATGTAAGGTACTTTATTTTAGTACACAAATTCGTTCAAGATTTAAAGCTTTATTATTTGTTTGTTTTTTTGCTGATTTTTTTGGTCGTGACATTCTTGATCCATATTCCATAAGTGTAAGTTATTTCATTTTAGTAGGTCATTTTCAAAGTTCTTGGATCCATTAGTCTTTAGTTATCTGATTATTTTGTAATTAGTAATTATCATTCTCGTTTTTTATTTATTTATTGCTAGATACTTAAGTTAGTTTGGACATACATATGATTTAAGGTATTTATGCATGAATGCTAATTGAAATCTTGATAAAAAATTTGTATTTGGTATGAACTAAATTATTCAACATATAGCGGTTGTTTATTTATAAACGTAGTATTAGCAAGCCATGGAGCATAACTATTAAGTTGAAAAGTTTATTTTTTGATGAAAGGAACCACTTTTCTGTTCTTTTGACCAGTCTCCGTTCAATTTTCGTACATTTCAATCCAAAACTTATAATTTTGTTATAAGGATAAATGGAAGCAAGGAGTTGCCGCTTTTAATGAGCATGTTAGATCCATTTCTATCTAGCCTATGTCACCAAAAACGGTGATTATGATCTAATCGTTTTGTATATATATATCTTTATTTTATTGTATGCATGTTTAAGCAAACTGGAATCTCATACCAAATAATTTGGTTAGTACGGGATTACTCATTCCTCAAAAGAGAACAATTGCATGGTCAATAAAGTAATGTAATAATAGCTCATTTGAACTAATGTCTTATTTCCTCCATCTCAAGTTATATACGGTATATATCTCATATTATATGATATGATCACTACTTATTTTCTTATATCAATGTTAAATATATGATCACTACTTGCTTGCTGATAATTTAATCAATTGTATGATTCCATGAATTTGAGTAAACTGTTTGGTTCGAGACAAGAGGCATAGATAAATTAACTAGTAAACTAACAAAAAATGTCATATGAAATTAATCAAAGTCTCCATACACGGATACACAGCGAGGACGTTGTCCAAAGACATGAGTTCCCTGTGGTTTGGGTAAAAATGGATAACTCTGTATGAATAGCTTTTTAAATCATTAGCCTCCCAAAATTCTTTGTATCAACAAAACTGAATATGAAGGGATTTTGGAAACGAAGCCCTGGTGAGTTCATTTGGATCATATAATCTAACACATAAATTACATTTAATCTTGCATCAACAAAAATGAACGTTGCTCACAATTTGGAATTCACTCTGAGAGACGACAACATGCGCCTGAAAGGTGATGATATTGAATGTAACATGGCTACTTATTTAACAATTTACACCAATGCAATATAAAATCTTGAAGAATTTATGATTATTAAACAACAATTTCAAAATACATCTACAGCCTGCGGGAAAAAAATAACAGCCAAGGAAATCAAATGATGCTCCTAATAACAAATGGGTCATAAGGAACTTATAAAGATCATTCTGAGGTTTTACAAAAGAGATAAGATAAATTTCTTTAGTTTTACTTTTTGTGGCTATACACAAAACTACCACTGGAGAGCTTCTTAATCCGAAGCTTCTTCTGAATCACGCTGGTTTGAATCCGACTGACTGTTCATCATCCGAGACACAAACAGCTTTGAGATGCCATTTATTGCTGCTTGGACCTCGTCTCTATCCCTAGGGCTTCTCGAAACCGAGCTTAAACCAGAGTACTCGCTTGCGGCAACCTGCGTCTTCTTTGATGTAGCAAGAACCTTCTCCAAATCTTTCTGTGTCAATGGCCTTGGCTCCTGAAAAACAAACGCAGCCAACTCCAAAACATCACTACTCAGAAACACTGACATTCCTAAAGTTGGCTTTTGTTTCACTTACAGAGACTTGTCTGCCCTTTTTCTCCTCCTCAAGGATCTCTCTGATTGGGAAGTAAGCTGCTTTCTTGCAGAGCTCAAAGATATCTGATCCGGTATAGTCTTCGCACAACCGAGCAACACGATCATAGTCAATATTTGGCTCCACCCTCTCTCCTTTCAAGATCACTTTCAGTATCTGAGCTCTCTCCTTGCAATCAGGCATCCCAATCTCAAACCCCTGAGGGAAACGCCTCAGTATCGCTTCATCTAGCTCTGAAGGTCTGTTCGTTGCAGCAAGAACCATCACCCTCGCATTCTCTATAAACAAACACACAAAAGCATCACACTTTCAGAATCGCACTCACACTTATACAAAGGTTTAAAACAGGACAAGGATTTTGAAACTCACGGTCTGTAGTGAATCCGTCCCATAAAGCCATAAACTCAGTCTTCATATTCGCCATTGCTTCGTTATCAGTCGAACGACGCTGGCCAAGAAAGCTATCGACCTCATCGATAAAGATAATCGCAGGTTGGAGTTTGTGCGCCAAGCTAAACACAGCAGCCACTAAAGAGGAAACAGAACACCTCTAACATCAGTATCAGCAAAGCAGCAGCAAGAAGAGTAAATGTGAGCTAAGAATAAAAAATCTAAACCTACCAAGCTTCTGAGCATCACCAAACCACTTGCTCATAAGATTCGAGACCTTGACATTGATGAAAACAGCCTCAGATTCCTTGGCAATAGCCTTGGCAAGCATCGTCTTCCCAGTTCCAGGAGGACCATACAACAAAACGCCCTTTTGAGGACCAAGCAACTTCCCATGAGCGAAAAGCTCAGGTCTTTTCAATGGTAGAATCACAAGCTCATACAAAGATTGCTTTGTTGATTCCAAGCCTCCAATGGAATCAAACTCAACATCTATTTGTTGTGGGTTTATCACATCACAAGCTATCACATCCTATCAATGAGCAGCATTTCCCAATGAAACGTGATTCCGATTATCAGATTATGATTTCGAATTGAGAAAGTAACGAATTTGGAAATTACGATTCGGAGATATAAAGCAATAAGAGTCAAAATTCACCTCGTATTGATTGGTTTGGATAAGAGGACGACCCAAACGCTTGGCGAGCTCTCTCTTATGCTTGAGAGCCTTTTTAGCTGCGTCGCGATTCGGGTCAAGCTGGCGGAGACCCACGTAGAGAACCAAGCTGCTCAATGCAGCGCTTGCGGCGTATAGAATCAATTGCTCTAAGAAAGTTGTATCCTTTTTCCCTGAAGATCTCTTCATATCTTGATTTTTGTTTTGCCCTCCAAAGACAAACCCTTTGCTGAAAGAGGATTTGGGGGATTGGGGAGGGAAAAGATAAACCCTAATTCTGGAAGAGTCTGGAGGAGATCGAGGAAAGGCGAAAGAAGAAGAAAGGTCGTAACTTGGATTACAGGAACAGTTCCTGGTGGCACTCTCGTAATTTTGTTTATCGTTAATAATTATCAGATTAGTGGTATTTCGAAATTGGGTCTGAAACGTTAAAGCCTTCGAAAGCCCAATTTTAAGATTAGATTTTGTGCCCAAACTGTTTTAGAAAAACTACATTTTTTCCTCAAAACTTATCCTGGTATGAAAATGTTGGTGACCACACACACATAAATGCATAATCATCGAAATTTAGTCAACCAAAGTTATTTAATTGGAAGAATTTTCTTGTATTCTAAAATAACAATAGAACTAGATAAACGAAACAAATACATATGGCCAGCACGAAAATGAAATTGAATAATAGTTTTAGTGACATGTTGAACAGATATTTCAAGAAAATTATCATGTTGTTCTACGCGTTTGACGAGAAGTGGATGATAGCGCATCCTATAGCTGACGTCGTTTCTGAGGTGGCCGGATCTGGAGCAGTAATTGCACTCGCTTGGCTCATCGACCCGGTTCCAGCCGCAGACGCGTTAACTGTTCTGTGTTTCCATATTGAGTGTTGTTGCGGCAGTATTAGATAAGGTAGACTCCCATGTGACCTATACTTCTATACCCACACAAATTATCTAGAAAAAGTTCAAAAATTATTGTCATATATATGTGTACATTTTATGCATTTATCAATAAAAGAGAACATAGACTTAGGCGTATTGGTAAGTAACAAGTTTGTCATATATGTTGTTTTGTTTTCTCAAGATTTTTGTACTTTTAATGCTGCTAGTAAACTCTTACGTCTCTATAGAACACACTTATTCTCAAGAAAAAAACTGTTAAGATTTAGTAGCTGAATATTGTGTCGATGTATTTAGTGATTATTCGGGATCACTCTATTGTTTCTTCTCCATTTGTGCTATGTAAATTCTGCCTCTACCAGATCGTTATTTTTTGCGTTCTTTATGGAACTGTGGTGACAAATTATTCGTTTTATCAACACAGAGAACATAGTCCTAGGAGTAGTGGTAATTAACGCATTACTTACCTGTTATTGATTATTAAGTTTACAGATTAAGTCTACTACAGAAAATGGACTTCATATGAGTTATCTATTTCAATTGACCATGTTTGACTTGCAAGGTTAGTTTTGCTATTTACCGACGTTAACTTTTTGTAGTAGACTTCATTATCCATAGTAGAATCTAAAAAGGTTAAGTCTACTCAATAAATGAAGTCTACTTCTGAAGTTTATGAGTTATATACTTCAAATCACCATGTTTAACTTTCTATTCCGATTTTAATATCTCTAATCCGCCGCTACCACCAAATCTTTTATGTACCGGTTCGTGATGATCATGTTAAAACAGAATATGCATTTAGCGACATAAGAGAACGTATACCTAGAGTATTGGTATGTAACAAGTTTGTCATTTACGTTGTTTTGTTTTCTCAAGATTATTGAACTTTTAAAGATGTTGTAATATTAAGTTGTATATATATATTCTAGATTTATATTTTTTCAGTTGTTTAGCTAAATTTTCTTGCAAACAGAAAAAGACATAACAGTGATGTCTGAACAGAGCCGTGCTTATAGTGTTAGGAAAAAGTCATTAGCCTCAGGCCCCTAACGATAATATAAGTTTAAAAGGCCTCCATTTCCTGAAAACCAATTGTAGTGTGGTGGTTTAAGAGGAGTGAAGTATATTACAAGGGCCCCCATCCAAGTTCGACACCACCTCTCTACCTATTTAAAGGTTTTTTTATTTAATAACTCACAATTTATTTTTAAAAAAATTAAGTATATTTTAAATTTTGGCCTCGGGCCCCTCAAAACCTTCGCACGGCACTGTGTCTGAATTTAGAATTCAAACATTTTGTAACAAGATTAATTTAATTGTGAATATGAAAACAGTGAACTAATCCTAAAAATATCAAAAACCTTAGGTTAAAAAAAGGGTTCTAAACTTATAGAATTTTTAAAAGTTTAGAAAAATAATATTTTGATTAGTTCTATAATTTTGCAAGAGAATGACATAACAATAAAAACTTGTACTACTTTACAAGAAGCAAAAGGCCAAGAAGGAAAACCTTTTTGGATATTTAGTTTTTCAATTTCCTCGTATTCTTTTCTGTTCACATCGAATATTATCTTTCAAACTTACCAAATGGATAAAATCTATACTATTAAAGTAGAGGAACAACAAAAGAAAGTGCACTAACAAAGCCCTATCCCTGTAGCCAAACAGGATTTAACCCGTAATTAACCTCTAAACTTAAATCATACCGGCGAATCTAATTGATTAAATCTTCTAACTACAAAACGTGGCATCAATTAATAGCTAAACCGGATATTCGAATAATCTATCCAGTTAAGGATAACTATTAACTACCCGAATTTTCGAATATATGATTGTGTATTCAGAATTGGAATATGCTTAACTGTAAACGTGATCATCCGCCTTTCCCGTAATTCAACATCTGCAATCAAGAGAGAAGAAAACAACTTATTCTTGACGCATTATTTAAGGTAATCTTTCCACAAACTATGCAAAACAATATATTGTCATATATTCGAGTTTCCAAAATCTTCGGTGGCCGAGCGACTGAAACCCTAACTTGCTCATCAAGACCTATACTATAAATATAAAGAACCCCCCAAGAAGTTCTCATTCCTCCTCACCATCCACATTTCAAAACAGAATCTTAATCTAAAACAAAGCATAATGACTATTGGTCAGATGTTTACCAAGCTTGATGATCTCAAACCCTTCAAGTCGACCTGGAGGGTGCGTGTCAAAGTCCTACACAGCTGGAGACAATACGTTGGCCAGGCCGGTGAGACGATGGAGTTTGTCTTGGCTGATGAACATGTAAGTTATTTCTGTAAAATAGAATAATCTTTTAATATCGTTAAGCACACTTGACAATATTTGGACTATTGTTTGCAGGGTGGAAAAATACATGCTGCAGCGAAGAAGAAGGACATAGGCAGGATCTCCAAGGATTTGAAAGTTGGCGAATGGAGAGTCCTTGACAATTTCCAGGTTGCTCATGCAACGGGTCAGTTCCGTCCTACAAACAGCAAATGGAAGATGACGATGACATTGAACACGAAAGTAAGCACCTGCTCGGTTAAAAACGACAGCCAGTTTCTTGAACTGATTCCTATTCGGACTATTTCGATGGTGGTCTGAACCACTGCATACTCATCGGTAATAGTCTCATTGTTTATATAAAGTTTAGTTTATTAACCTTTAGTTGAGCTGTTCCTCTTTTTCTGTAATGTATGAACTGGTTTTGGCTTCATTCTCCACCAGATTTCATTGGTCAAGTACTCAACGTCCAGGAGATCCAAACTGTACCTGTCCAAGGGAAGGAAAACGTAAGCTCGAGTTTGTTCTGAGAGACACTGAGTAAGATTAATTTCTAATGTTATTTTATTGATCTATATTTTGTGTTTGTTTGAATGAACAAATAGACTAATCACGAAGTATTGGATAATTGCAGTGATGAACGTGTTAGCGGATGCCTTTGGGAGTCTTATGCTGAGCAGTTATATGATGCATGCAAGGAAGCAAATGGCGAACCGGTGATATGCATGATCAGATTTGCAAAGATAAACTTCTATCTAGGCAAGCATACAAAAAAAAACCTAAACAGAACTTAATTGATTTTTCCGTATTGCTTAAAGTTAACTTCATATCAACATTATTACATTGCATAGGAGATTTGCAAGTTACCAATGCTTATGATACATCTCAACTCATTATCAATCCAGTATGTCCCGAGGCTGACCACTTTCGAGCAAGGTTAATCTAGATTTTGTCTTATTTTTAACGAGTTTTGTATATTGTAATCTACATTACAGTAATCTTATCTAATTATACTTACCAAAACTTGAAATGAATGTTGTAGTTTACCTTCTGAATGGATTGGCAATTGCAATGAACCTGAAAGAGGACGATGCATTAGTGCAGCTTCAGAAACAGCAAAAGGCGGATGAGTGGTTGACGCTTGATCTTAAGTCCGTTTATGATGTCACGAGTTCTACCGAGGTAATGATTCTGTTTTGGAAATTTAATAGTATAGATAAAACAAAGTTAGATTACGATGCTAGAGTATGATTTGAGCTTACTGTTTTGTTTATTGTTGTAGATTGAGAAATTTAGAATCCGTGCAAAGGTCACTGCTATTGATACTGATTGGGGATGGTATTACTTTGGTTGCGTTCAACATCGGGTTTTCAAAGACTTGAAAAAGGAGTCTTCCACCAGACCACGACCAGTAGTTCCTATTTGGTATTGTGATAACTGCAAGACAAATATCAAAGCGGTTTCACCAAAGTAAGTCTATACTCTGCATCTGATCAGAAATGCTGAATATGTCTGTTCTACTTAGTTTTTTACTTACAAGGAAATTTTATTTGTTCTTCAATAGATTCAAGCTACATTTAATCATTGAAGATGATTCTGGTGAGACTAAGATAATGCTCATGGATTCTGTTGCTAACGGGATGGTCAACAAGACAGCTGCATTCCTACTTAATGGTTCTACTGATGAGGTACTATCGAATCCAATTGAATTATAATATAAGCAACATTACAAAATATACAAATGCATAAAACTTTACCTGTGTAGATTCAAGACCCGGAACTTCTTCCTGATTCCATAAAAGATTTGGTTGGGAACACTTTCGATTTCTTGGTGGGTGTAGAGAAGGAGCACATCATGTATGGAAATGACACCTACAAGGCTCACAAAGTGAAAAATGGTCATATCACGGGTCATTCTGATTCAGCCAATGAGATCATTACTGTTGAGGATGATCTCTCTCAAATTCATTCTGACAATGAGGTATGCGAAGTTTATATTTTAGGATCTGTGTATATAACTATACTCATAGTTCCAGAGCTAACCTTATCTCTCATCATATTCATTTATTTCAGGCCTCTGTTGTGAAGAGCAATGGGATGACACCATCTCCTAAGCGCAGTATTGAAGACAGCAATATCAGAAGTGAGCTCTCTTCCACTTCAAAGAAACAGTGCACCAAGCTCATCAACCTAGAAGACGAAAGCAATGGTGTTGATGTGAAGACGTTGACCGAGTAGTGCATCCCAAACTGTCACAAGGAATAATGAGTCAACATTGTCATCTTTTTGTTTTTTGAATTTCTAAAGACCTTTCTAGCTTGAGCTTTATTTTTTCAGTATTTGAGATATTATTTGGATTTTTTAATAAGTTGGTTACAATTATCTACTTCAGTTGGCTTTATATCGACTATCTTACATCTATAGTATTATCATCTGAAGAGCCTAAGACCGTTTATCTAAGTATATATGCGAGACATCGTTTACAAATCAATATTAGTGTAGTACCTGAGACTTATCTACTTGAGATTATCTTACATCAATATTATAGAGAAAATAGAGTGTTCATAAGGCCTACACAATTTGTGGCCCATTCAGTCTAGAGTCTAAGGAAAAAGGATTAGAAGTAATTGGTGGGCCGAATTATACTTATCTTTTTGTATTGAGAAATTGGTCAAGGTTTCATGCTTGAGTAATAATCACCTACAAAGAAAATTGAAACTGTCAGATAAGATTTTTCTGAAAAAGTGAATATATTCAGAGAATCCTCAGTATATTTACAGTACCATTAACTGCAAAAGTCCGCCTCAATTTACGGGACACTCAATCGAAATTGTCAGTTTAGATATTCATAGCGAATCAATTAAGTAGATCTCAATATATTGCGTGTACCATCAAGCTAACGCGTATTAATATACTTTATGAAGAATATATAAATAGGAACCCTTATCATCTAAACTTCAAAACCAGTAAAAAGTTAGATCTGAAAAAAAATTTCAAACAATGAACAACGCTAAACTCGCTGATATTACACCAGACCGTGATGATTTACGGATCACTGTGAAAGTTTAAAATCTGGGATACACTTGATGTTGATACCTTTGAAGGTCTAAGTTTCCTCTTTGTTGATGATGAGGTAATTAGAACTTACATGTTTTAATAGTATAGATTGTTTTATGATACATGATACTAACTAAATTATCTGTCCTCAATCTTTCCTACAAATTTAACAGGGCACGAAGATGCATGCTTTCGTGGACAGAGAAGATCAGAAACGGAGATTCAGGGGACTACTTCATGAAGAAGATTGGAGGAGCATAACTGGTTTCAAAGTCCAGTTAGTTAATACAGAGATTCGATTGACCAAACAGAGGAAAGAAATTGTTCTCACGCGTGATACCCAAGTTTCTAACTCTGAGTGCTTTAATGGTTTCATTCCTCTGGATCTTATTCCATTTGGAGATGTTTATCGTTCAGCTGTTCAAGACGGAACATCTTTCCTTAGAGGTAATTTGCTGAATTATTTATTTTTCTGTTTATAGGAAAATGTTTTATTTTTAGAGGCAATACTTTGTGTAGTGATATCTAATGTGGCATTACAGATTTTATAGGTCAAATAACTATTGTGAGGGAGTTGGACACTATGATAGATCCTTTCCTTCCTAGGAATAGGTGGAACATGCATAACAAATATATTAGCAAGATTGACTTTATGCTTCTGGACAACAAGTAAGTATATCATTTCTATAAACCTATTGTCTTTAATAGTATAGATTGCTTGGAAGTGAGTAATACGAAACTGAAATACCTGTTTTTCATGTTTTAAGTGGCAATGGGCTTAACTTTCGTGCGAAAGGAGAGTTAGCAGATAAGTTCAAACGTTTCTGGCTTTGTTATGGTTACACTGGAACAAATATCATCCTCTTAACTGATTGGCGAGTAGTTGGATCAGATGGTAATCTGTTTGAGATTTGTAACTTTTTATTAGCATGTCTTTCTAAGATGTTCCAGATTTAAATTACAACTTTCCTAATGTTTATTTGATATACATGTAGGTGGTATAAACGTTGAAAGTGTGCAGGGTATCTCTACTTTTGATTTTCATCCAACCGGTCACTTAGAGGTGGAACACTTCGAAAATATATTGTAAGTTTTAGTAGTATGTATTATTTCTAAGTTTACCAAATTCTAACCTACAATAATATTAGCTAACAATAATATTATGTGTACATTATACAGCCTTCATCCCACATCCGATGATAGTGACGTTGAACTCATGGATGGTTGAAGATTGTACTGAAAGTTTGGAAATCACGAAGTGACCAGAAGATGTTTGCCATTCTAAGATTACCTACTTCTCTCTATATCTATTTGTAATTAACTATGACCAGCACTGTTTCTCTTATTTCTGGATGATTTCAAGTTTGAATCTTATGTTTTATAATTATGTTAGATATGTCGAACATATGAAATCATGCGATAATCTAAAAGTAAAAATCTATGCATTGTGAGAGATAGTTACCTGAATTGATTCGGGGATGTGAACTGAACTGATATGGACGATTAATTAAACTTGACATTTCTCCAAATCACAAGTACTATACACACAAAAGTAGTTTATTAGTGTAGTCAACCATTGATTAGCATAAAACATAAATAAATGACCTCGGCTAATTTTGTGTCACTTTTTTATGAGACATGTTTGTGTTTCTTAAATAAAATGGAAATACCTGCAATCATTGATTCTATTATTAAAAACGCTATATTTGTGTACCTACTCTATCATTTAGCAAGATAGAGATCTACAAATTAAAACACGCATCATATCTTAACAAAATATATTATTTCCTTAATTCACTCTAAGTAGATTTCGAATAAACAAATTGGAGGTAAACTTATACTTACCTTTACTTTTTGAAATTTTTGATATACTTACTCAGATTCATGCTTCATAATTTGAAATTTGGTACGAGGGAAATCGATTTTTTCACTTTCCCGCCCTGTCATAAAATGGTGAAAAATGACATACAATTAAGCTCAGCTGCAGAGATTTTAGTACTACACAGAATTAAGAGTTTAATATCTCTAAGAACACTACTATTCGGACCGAAGCCAGGTTGTGATCAGAGTCGTGCGAGATTGATAATCCTACTATAGGTACTAATCTATTTAAGCAATCAGTTTTAGTTCAGATCTAAGCTTTCACATTTCATTTAACATAGATACCTATAAAGGAGAGCATCATGAAGAAGAAAACAGAGGAAGTTGTCATCGATGGATGTCCCAGAAAACCTCCTAGATCCAGAAAGAGGAAAAGCTCATATGACAATAACGACACCTGCAATGGAAAATCTGTAAAGGTAAATAAAAAAAAATCACTTAGATTCAAACTCATTTATAACAAGTTACATAATGGATGAACTTTTTGAACTAATGTCATTATCAGGGGATGAGCGTTGATAATCACATAGTAGATGGTGCAGAGGATCCTAAAACAACCACAACCAGAAAAACGAGAAAACAAGAGCATCAACTCAAACCATCAAAAAACCTTCCAACACGAAAACTCAAGCATGTGTACCAGTAAGAACAATTTTTAGCAGAATCTTTGATGGTGTTAACAACATAAATACAAAGTGGAAGGGCTACGAGTTTGAAACGCGTCGATATTAATGGTTCCCCATTGTTTACAAAACCGACTTTCCAAGGTACTAAGTATTTCTCTCATGGCTTATAATTTAACTCATTGGCTTTACCGTTTATAACTTACGTAGTTTCAACTGTGGAGTAATAGCTGATTGATTCATTTCGTCTGAAACAGTGCCTGATAGAACACCAGTAAGTGCTGTCACACTGAACAGTCAAAGCGAACCACACGTGGTCGGAAGTTGATGCGAGATCTTTCCAGCCTGCAAACAATTGAGACGGAAACAAAAGTACCATCTTCTAAACGCAAACCTAGAGGAAAAATAAAACATACTGATGAGACTACTATTGAAGATAGACCACATAATTTCCCAGATTTGTTGGTATCTTCGGAAGGCAAGTTTATTTCTGGTTTGAGTATTGTTTTCAATAGTTTCATGGTGAATTCAAAAATTATCTAAACTATGACATTTTGTTATTTTGTAGATGATGATGGAGATTATGACCATATATTTCAGTGTAGTAGCCCAGAAACCACGGAAGATGAGTTATCAAATGATGAATCAAGTTGTTCTAAAGAGACAAACCTTGCAGGATGTGATCAGCCTCAACCGGAATTCGCAGAGGTTAGATCCAAGAATCCACGAAAGCCGTGTGTCCAAGCTGAAACTAAGAAACAACCAAACTCGACAAAAGGAACCAGAGGGAGGAAAGTGAAAACAAAGGAACCATTAAAACTTGGTAATTAATAGTCTATCATAATCTTGGTAGTTTCTAATTGATGTTACACTAAGTTTCTGGTGATTTTGGATTGTCCCGTACAGAATATAATGATGAGGGTGATATGACATATCGTTGCACTCACTGTGATGCTAAGTTTTGGTATGGTGAACGTATCAACAAGAAGAAGAGGTCACGCAATCCAGTCTTCACGCTTTGCTGTATGCAGGGACAAGTAACGTTGCCGTTGCTAAAGGATCCTCCTCCTGAAATTAAAAATTTGATTTATGGAGATGATGAATTAAGCCGACATTATCAGAAGCACATCAGGCCTTACAGCATGCTTTTTTCCTTTACTTCAATGGGTGGAAGAGTTGATCATTCTGTAAAAAAAGGGAGGGGTCCACAAATGTTTCAGTTGCACGGAGAGAATTACCATTTAATGGGCAGCATGATTCCACAACCTGGAGATTATGCAAAATTCTATCAGATGTATATTGTTGACATGGAGAATGAGATCGAAAATAGGCTCACTTTCCTCAGGTAATTTATATTACATAGTTTATAATTTAATAGTATAGATTCTTGAATCACAAACAGTTTATGTTATCATTAGTACTAACCTGTTTATCCTCTCTTATCCAGCAAGGCTAAAAATGCACAAGAATCAACTAAGAAGAACCGACTACGGAAGGAAATCATTGAATTGTTCGTCAAGGTCTTAGATGAGCACAACCCGTACGTGAAGACATTTCGGTCTGCAAGAGAGAGATTCAACACTGACCCTGAGCACAGTTTTCACATGAGGATTATAAGTGATCGTGTTACTGATGGAAGAACTTACAACACTCCTACGGCTTCTGAGGTTGCTGCAA